ACCTGGCTTTTCCATCATCTGGCTGTGCCACTCTATCCCACTGGTTGATCATTCTGTCTCATTTCTTCTGCTGCTAACTAAGTAACTGTAGATGATGGCAAATTTCAACCCACATTTTATGGAACCCTAGATGTTTCTGGAATTGCCCCAGAAGCCATCATGCAGAAGGCAAGAACTAAGCCCAGTTTTAAAAGTGGTAAACCCTCCACCTGCTTCCTGCAATGTTATGTCAAGGAAAAAAGCCTTACTTTTACCTCTACCAGTTTTATATCTCTAGGTCAATTTTTATTTGATGAAGAGAAATGTTTAAAGATCACTCCACTTCAGGTAAATTTTAAGATTAAACTCAAAATATTTTTAATACTTTGATTTACAGTTTTTAGTACATTTTTTCCCTAGCAGTAGTAGTAATTCATTTTAGCAGCTTGTCGACTTTTCATAATTAATATTCTTAAAACTCAAAATAACTTCAAAGCATTTGCCAGATGCCTTCACATAATGGTCATTAGACTGAACACATAGAATTAGACATGATCTGAAAATTACTATCAGTATATTTTGCATTGATTTCCAAAATACTTACAAAATCCTTCAACTATATTCAAAGCATTTGTATATTCAAAGTATTTGACAAATACTAAGATTAATTTATGAAAACATTTCTTTTTTCGCTAATTAGAAAAAATGAGCTATATTTCTTGTATTCATGGGTGTATTCATTGGAGCACTTTTCAATTAGTGATATCTCTACCATATTATAATTGAAAAATATAAAATCTCATATTAATGGAGAACACAAATAAATACTCAAGTTAGTTGATAACTACAGTGGTCCCCCTTACCTGTCAGGGATACATTCCAAGATCCCCCCTCCCAGTGGATATCTAAAACATCCAGTCATTCAAACTGTATATGAAAGAGCTATCAAGTCTGGCCGTTGGAGAAAATGCCCATTTATTGAGCAACAGCTCTGCATATTTACAGAGCTGGGGGTGGTTTGACAGTTATGACAGTTTAATGTTTGAACGGTTTGACAGTTGGCTGGGGTGCTTTCTGATTGGTGGGTAAGGATCATGTGAGCCAGCAGGGCTCACCATTGGACAGCTCTTCTTGGGGGATGAGGAAGTTAGTCTTTGGAGCCGGGACTACTCCCTACAGTAGATATATTAGGTTTTTTTCTTATATACATAAACCTATAATAAAGTTGAATTTATAAACTAGGAACAGCAGGAGTTTAGCAATTAATAATTAGGACAATTATAGCAATACATTATTATAAAAATATGTGAAGGTGGCCTCTCTTTCAAAATATCACTTTGTGATGATGTGAGATGATTCAATGCCTATTTGATAAGATGAGGTACAGTAAATGACATAGGCATTGTGGATACCTTGATAATCAATCTGGTCATTAATATGGCTACTAAGTGACTAACAGGTGAGTAGTGTGTACAGTATGGATACATTGGATGAAAGAAAGATTCATATCCTGATCAGAATGGAGCAGGACAGCCTAATATGTCATTATGCTACTCAGAATGATTGCAATTGAAAACTTATGAAGTGTTACTTCCAGAATTCTTCACTTAATATTTTCAGATGGGAGTTGACCTTGTGCAATTGAGACTATGAAAAGCAAAATTAAAGATAAGGGACTAATCTACTGCAGTGGGTTATCAGGTTTATGAAAACATGGGGATCAAAGTTAAACTTATGTTCAACCTCTAGCTTGATGATAACCATATTCAGTCATGTATTTTACCTAAAATAATGTCTAATGACAAAGAGGAGGTGGGAAGAGATGGAACAATCTCTATCACATCAACTTGCATCA